ATCATCAAGCCCAAATCCTATGCCAGCACAGCCAAGGCCACCACTAACCCATGGCACTGAGGACCTCACCTGTACGATGTCTGGTTGGAAGAGGGAGCGGGGCTCAGTTTTCTTGTGGGCACAGGCAGCGCCCTCAAAAACCATACTCAGAGATGTGATAGAAGTGGGGGTCAGGGAAAGCTCCCTTTAGCTATTGGTGGTGCTCCTGGTCCAAAATCTCTTCACCCTATCTTTAGGGTGATGCCAGGCTTGCATAAATCCAGTTGAGATGACCCAGAGCAGGGATGCTCTAACCAGCTTTGCCCTGTGTCCATCAAACCAGCATACAAGGCCTGCAGGAGCCAGGACAGGCTCTACAACCATGAGAGTCCCAAGGTCTCCTTCAAGGCCAGGTTCCCCCCTGCAACCCATGAGCTGCTGTCAACCCCTTCTCCATCAGGCCCTGGACCATCCCACAGCAGCTTTCCGGGTGCTGACCTTGGTTGAGCAGCCGCCTGCCAGGAAGCAGGGAAAACCCATCAGACCTGCAGCATTCCCACAGCGTATTCCAGGTCCAACCAGCTGGAATTTCCCAGGGAATTCTCCATTGTGTCAGCAAAACCCCATCCACCGAAACAGCCCAAGAACTGTGGGGAAGGAACTGGCTTTGACGAGGTCCCAGCGCTGGCCGTAACCCTCAGGCTTTGCCCCCATCAGGTGCTTCATGCAGGTATAGAGACAAACATGGGTGCAACGTTGCTGGGTTTGACCTTGAGCTCACTTTGTGTTTAGGAAACAACTTGAATTTCAATTGCTTTTTTTAATATAAATTTTATATACATTTGCTTTCTAGATTCTTTTTTTTTCCCCCCACCCAAAATTGGCAGGAAAACATTCAATTTGCCTCTAATCAATTTGCCTGTGATTTTATGGGGTTTTTCTGAGTTGCCAAAAATAACTCACAGATGTGCATGGCACGAGCAGAAGCCTCCCCAGCTGGCATCAACCATCACCTCCCTCCTCCTCCAGCTCCCTCCTCCTGCGCCCTGCAGGAGGATGCAGCACCAGCCACCCCAGTTATTGCCACCCACCCAGGGCGTATGATGGTGTCTCAGCACTAGAGGTCCAAGTGCCCCTAATTGTGGGTGCAATTATTGCCATCCCTGCTACACAGAACCCCAGACTGGTTTGTGTTAGAAGGGACCTTAAAGCTCCTCCAGCTCCAACCCCTGCCACGGGCAGGGACCCCTTCCACTAGAGCAGCTTGCTCCAAGCCCCTGTGTCCAACCTGGCCTTGAACACTGCCAGGGATGGGGCAGCCACAGCTTCTCTGGGCACCCTGTGCCAGCGCCTCAGCACCCCCAGGACTCACAAGGGTCCATGTCCCATTCCCAGGTGGCACTGATGTCTGTCCATCTGAGAACAGTTGGGTTTTCCCCTGCTGCCCCTTATTGCCAGGAGGCATCGCATCAGAGCTGGGTTTCTAGCCAAGCACAGGGCATTTGAATCCCACAGCTCTGCTACCCAGCCCAGGACATCCCCTTATTCCTTCCAGCTACCCTTACAGCATGAGACCGGGACATGCATACAGGGACATCCCAGCATCACAGACAGGAGCAAAGGGCTCAGGAAAATGCATGTGTGCTTTATTCATGGATATATTTGAATATTGACATGTACAGAAGAGATAAGTACAAGTTATACCCCAGTAGTACAGGCAGACATCAACCACCCTCCCTATGTGCATGTGTATACACACACACACGCAGCCTTCAGCATCACCCTGGTACCCATGGGGTTATTGCTCCGAAACCAGCTCCCCACCACGGTGTCTCCCTCCCTGCTCATGCTCTGGCTTTGATGATGATGTGGTATTTGTACACGCACACAACATTCCACGGGCTTTGGGGATGCCAAGCCATTGGGAACGGTGCTGAGCAGCCAAAAAAAACCCAGAGTCTGGTGGCTGGTTTGGTTCTTATTACTTGTCCCACGTGACTCTTCTTTGTGCTTATGGAAGTCCCCAGGTACGGAGTAATCCCTAAAAGTATTGTGTCCTTTCCTCTCTTTCGGCTTTCCCAATCCTTTGCCTTTACGAGCAGCTGCTCTGACGTTGGTGGTGACTCAGGAGACTTCAAAATGAAGATCCGTGGTTCATGTCACAGGGTTCAGCAGAGATGGAATTTCATCCCAGAAAATGACTGACTTTTCACCAGGGAAAAGAAGGGACCCGTGCACGCACGTGTCTGAAATGGGGAGGAATGTACTCGGGTTTCCTTCCTCCAACGGGACTGCTCGAAAGCCATCCTTCTGTCACAGAGTGTGATTCATGACTGGGCCTGGAGGGGGAATTGACGTTAAATGGTGGCAAAAGGGGTGAAATGACCCATAAAAAGTCATGCAGGCTTGGGGATTATCGCTGGCTTTAATTCTGTGTGATGTGAGTGCCCATCCCAACCCCCTGGCTCCTTCCTGCTGGATGAGAGGCTCAGTACTCTGTGCCCTACTTCACCTCAGAGCATCCCCAGAGCCCAGTGTGCAGGACTTGGCCTAAGACAGTGCTTGAAGGATGCTGTGTCCAAATCACAGCACGGGGCAAAGGCTGAGGACACTTTGAGACCTACACCCTCACCTCTACAGATGATTTGAGGTCCCTCAACCAAGGGCATAAGGAGGAAACCCCTCTCACAGACACCTATTGACATTAACTCACTACAGTTTGTGCAGGGATCCCAGTAGATCCCTGCTGTGGGGTTTGAGTTTCTCATGCAATAGCTCTGATACGATCCATGGCAGCTGGCTGTCACTTTTAGCTGTTGGTTTGCCATCCTACCATAACCGAGGGCTTGAGAAGACACCACTATGGGAACTGAGGGGCTCGTTAGCCTGTGATGCTTGGAGACAACTAATATCCTAAGGAGTCTTCCTAAGGGGAAGATGATGATGAGGATGATGTGTTTCATTGACATTGTTAAAAATCAGTTAAGATAAATCTGCCATAAAACATCAACAGACCGTTGGTCCTGATGTGGGACATGGTAATGGACCAGGTAACCTCTGGAGGTCTCCTCCATCCTCTCTAGTCTCTGAGTATGATTCCCCACGTGTATTTTTCACAGTCCTAAGAGAGACCTGAAGTGGGGTTGTCATCCTGGCCACCCTCAAGAAGTCTGTCTCTGCTGGGTGCCAATCAGTCGGAGAAGGAAATGGCCAAGTGTCATTTCAGCATCACCAGCAGTGAGTTACGAGAGGCACAGGAGTGGAGCTCTGAGTGGGTACTCCTGGAAAGCAGCTGACACTTCATGCCCATCCTACACAGAGACATTCAAGGCTGGTGGAGATGGATGTGTAGAAGAGCAGGGCATGACCACAGGGCTTGGAAGGAAAGAGGCAGGAGAAGGCAATTCACAGCATGACCTCGTGATGTTGAGGTAGTTCCTTGCCTTTGAAGGGCTGAGCATCAGGGTTTAACCCCTTTCTCACCTGTGGCTCAGCAGACACCAGCTTTGCAGAGCTGCAGCTTGTAGTTGTGTCACTTGGAGCAGAAATGGCTCCGTGGTCTAACAGAGGACACTGATGTCCTGGATAAAAGGGAGATGTTCACACTCAGAGCACGGCTATGGCACTGGGAAGGGAAGTGAGGGGCTCTCCTGCCTGCAGCACTGCCTCCCTGCCTGCGTTTCTGCTCTGGGTGAGCCTCTTGGCAGCGGAGATCTCACATCCAGGTTTCAGTTCAGAGTGTGACTTGGCACCCTGCGCACAAGACTTGGATCATGGCAGGTCAACTGTTGGACTCAGTGATCTTAAAGGTGTTTTCCAACCTAAACAATTCCATGAATCTAGGAACTGAGGTTCCTTTGCACAGCCCTGGATTAAGACAACCGGGTCCTACAGCCCATAGGACGTTGAGGAGCAGAACTTTGGGTAGGATGCAGCCAGAAGGATTTCTGGGCATGTTTCACACATCCACAAGTGTTCAAAACCAAGTGACCAAAACCCAAGAAAGCTGCTGCAGTTTCTCAGCAAAAGCAGAAGCAATAAATGATGGAAAGTGTTCTGCAGCGAATGGGAATAAGAAGTGCTGGATGTTGCTGCATCAGCTGCTCTAAGCCTTTCTGTGGATCCAAATGCTAAGGAACTAATGATGTTCCTTGAGGAATGCAAATCAAGGAATAAACAGGCTCCTTCAAAGTCCAGGCCCAAATACTCTGGATAAATCTCAAGCTATTCCTGTGCCTTCCATGGTGGTCAGCCTGGGTAAGCTTTTATCCTGGAAAACCTTCTCACCCTTCCTTACCATCTTCTTTCTTGGCTTGATCTCGTGAGGGGTTAACCCCTGCAAGAAGGCACTGGGGGTCCTCAGCTCATCTCCTAGACAGAAGACCCCAGTGTTCAGGTAGCCCAAAATCATGTATCTGCCTCCCTGTGCCCTGAGAGACCAGGGGGATGCTTGTCCTCACCCTCCAGCTGGGCTCTGGCTGCAGCTCAGTGGAATGGGTTGCTTCATCAACCTTTACTTAAATGGCCTCTCCGCTTAGTAAATACGACTTGTCAAGAGGCAATGTCCTTCACCTGATAACCTGGATACAAGTGATTGCCTCTGCCAGCAATGAAAGGAGGAGAACTGTAGAAATCCACTCTCTACCCATGAAATGATTCATGACTTGGCCTTCTCACAAACTGGCTGGGTATTTACGTCCCCTGGGTGCTATCTGGCAAACCTTTTCCATCCTATCTCTTCCTAGGAGAACTAATAAAATCCTGACTTAGGAACCTCTGTCTCGGCAGGACTGGAGGATGCTCAGGTTGGTTTGCATTGGGCTCACATCGAGTCCTGCCCATGGGCTCACGAATCCATCCCTCGTGGAGAAAGGTTAGCTCGGAGTGGGACAACATTGGCCTCTGATTGTTTGGATGTGACAGAAAAATACCTCCCCCAGACACTTTACAGGACCAGTGAGCAGCGATGCGAGGGTTGGGGCGCGAGGGAAGCCAGCCGCGAACGCAACGCAACACACGTGTTTCTTCCTGAACACCACCAATACATGACACATGTTTCTCTAAAAAGGAGGGCCCAAGGGGTAGGTGACAGCTTGGAGGTGCATGCTGGTTGCACTCTGGCCATGGTTTCAAGCCAGTTCTTGGTGTGGTTTCTTGGTCCAACCCAACGGTGCTTCAGGATCCTCTCTGGTCAACAGAACCAACCAACGCTGGTGCTCTGGTTTCAGTCTGAACCAGTTGGGATGCCCTTTGTGTCCTGAGCAACCCTGGAGACAGTCTGAACTCCACGTTGCTTGACGTGTGCTGTCAAGGGCCCCCCAGTGTGAGTCAGGGCTACAGGAAACCTCCTGACAGCTCATCCATCAAGTGTCTTTCCCCCCTTGGCTGGGGCAGGCAAAAGCATTTCCTTTGCAGATCTCATTTCTTGGCTCAACTCTCTCCTTCACCTTTTCCAAGGGAATTAATTGTCCATGGCTCCAACCCCATGCACAGAGAGCTGGAGAGACCACCAAGCCATGGGGTGGAAAGGTGGCCAGGCCCAAGCATGAGCTGGCTGTCGACGATGCTGATTGTATAAAACCAAATCAAGTGGCAGACGGATGAGGAGGAGGAAGGGATGCCCACACGCTCACGTCTCCTTCCCATCCCCTCCCTCCTCCCACCCCCTCTCCCCAAACGAGTTTCTGGTTGTTTTGTAAAGAAACCAACACAAAGCGAGTCTGTGCCTGGCGTGTGCCCGCCCTGCTTCACATTGCAAAGAGGCTCAGCTCGGCGAGAGCCAGGAGAAGCCACATCTGCAGTGGAGAGGCTGCCCAGAGGGAGGGAGCTGCTGCGCTGGAGGTCCCTGATGACAGACGAGTGGAGCCCCGCAGGAGCCTCTCCTCTCCAGCCACCTGAAAGAGGAAGAGAAGGAGAAGGAAGAGGAGGAGGAAGGGGAAAAGAGGAAGAGGAAGAGAAAGAGAGGAAAAGAGAAGGAGAAAAAGAGAGGAAAAGAGAAAGAAAGAGAGAAAGATGAAGAGAAAGAGGAAAAGGAAGAGAACAGAAAAGAGAAAGAGGAAAAGGAAGAGGAAGAGAAAAAAGAAAGAGAAAGAAAGAGAAAGAGAAGAAAGAGAAGGAGAAAAAGAAAGAGAAAGAAAGAGAGGAAGAGGAAGAGGAAGAAAAAGAGAGAAAGAGAAAGAGAAAGAGAAAGAGAGAGAAAGAGAAGGAGAAAAAGAGAAAGAAAGAGAGAAAGAGGAAGAGGAAGAGAAAGAAAAAGAGAAAGATGAAGAGAAAGAGGAAAAGGAAGAGAATGGAAAAGAGAAAGAGGAAGAGGAAGAGGAAGAGAAAAAGAAAGAGAAAGAAAGAGAAAGAGAAAGAGAAGAAAGAGAAAGAGAAGGAGAAAAAGAGAAAGAAAGAGAGGAAGAGGAAGAGGAAGAGAAAGAGAAAGAGAAAGAGAGAAAGAAAAAGAGAAGAGAAAGAAGGAGAAAAAGAGAAAGAAAGAGAGGAAGAGGAAGAGAAAGAGAAAGAGAAAAAGAGAGAAAGAAAGAGAAAGAGAAGAGAAAGAGAAAGAAAAAGAGGAAGAGGAAGAGAAAGAGGAAATGGAAGAGGAAGGGAGGAAGGAAGGAAGGAAAGGGAAGGAAGGAAAGGGAAGGGGAAGGGAAAGGGGAAGGGAAAGGGGAAGGGAAAGGGGAAGAGACATGTTTGTATCGGATATACGTATAACCTGGTGAAAGTCTGCCTGTGCTGCGCATGGCCACCAATGCCCTGAAAATTAGCAAAGGAAGGAAGCTGATGCCACATTTTTACGCTCCATGAAAACAGACTGGTGGGACATGAATCGAGGGATTTCCCAGCAAAAGAAACAGGGAATGGGATTCAAAAGCCCTGTGTGTGGAAGCTGTCTGAAGGGATCCACTAAGCCCAGCACAAGGTCCATGCTCAGCCCTTGGAGTCTAGTTACCTGACAGCTTCTGTTACCTGAAGGTTCAGCAAATCAGGGTCACTGGTAATTATTCAACAGTGAAATAATTCAATCTGAAAATCACTCTGGTGGGTGACAAACCAAGGTCGGTGTGATTTTATTCAAAAATGAGGTATTTAATGCCTACTGCTGCCACCGTCAGTAAATTCATCTGTCATTTGGTTTGAAATAATTTAAATTTCATATCATTTTGATATGAACAATTTGCTGATGGCCAGAATATTTCATCTGCAAGCCTCAGGCAGTTAAACCTCTACATTATGACCTCCAGGATCCTCATCTAACAAGGGAGGAACCTGTGTCCCAGGCAGCTGAAATGCTTATCTGAAGCCCTGCAGGAAGGTGAGGAGCCAAATGAGTGGAGTGGTCCTGGCTCCCTTCTACACTCCTGAAAAGCCCATGGATGTCCCAGTACTTATAAGCAAAACTCAATATATCTCTCTGTAGCATCTATAAAAGAAAAGAGAAGGTGACCAACAGGCAGGAGGGCAGAGTCAGGGATACGAACATGTTGCCCTGTGCTTGATGTTGGGGAAGAATATGTGAGGGTATGAAGAAGAGGGTGAATCAAGGACTTCAGGAGGTGAATGTCTGCACATAACTGGTATGATACAGGTGGAAGACAGAGCTGAGGATGGCTGGAGGGCATGGAGGAGGTATAGACACAGCCAAGCAGGTCTTAGGGCCATGCCCTCTCCTACCTTGGTGGGCTGGAGGTGGTCGAAGATATTCTCTCTGAGGGTGGCCACGGCTCTGTTGGCATTTTGCTCCTGCTTGTACATCTGTGTGGTGGGGGGGATGGATGGGGCCATGGCTGCGTTCAGGTAGGTCCCATTGCCAAAGGCCAGAATGGCGTTTTCTTTGTGTGAGGAAGAGATGGAGAAAAGTCTTGTCAGGGCAATGTTTCCAAGGAGAAGCGCACATATCCCTTCTCCACCCTCCTCTGGCTGCATCAGCCAAATGCATGCCTTGTCTTAAGAGCTGCTTTGTTGAAAGAACAGGGAGCTGAACACCTATCAACTTGAGGACCAAGGCGTTTTCATCCTTCCCAACAAAAGAAGGACATGGAAGTATTGGAGGGAGTCGAGAGGAGGACACGAGGATGATCGGGGGCTGGAGCACCTCCTGTATGAAGACAGGCTGAGAAAGTTGGGGCTGTTCAGCCTGGAGAAGAGAAGGCTGCGTGGAGACCTCATAGCAGCTTCCAGTGTCTGAAGGGGGCCTATAGGGATGCTGGGGAGGGACTCTTCATTAGGGACTGTAGTGACAGGACAAGGGGTAATGGGTTCAAACTGAAACAGGGGAAGTTTAGATTGGGTATAAGGAAGAAGTTCTTTACTGTAAGGGTGCTGAGGCACTGGAATGGGTTGCCCAGGGAAGCTGTGAATGCTCCATCCCTGGCAGTGCTCAAGGCCAGGTTGGACACAGGGGCTTGGAGCAAGCTGCTCTAGTGGAAGGTGTCCCTGCCTGTGGCAGGGGTTGGAACTGAATGAGCTTTGAGGTCCCTTCAACCCAAACCAGGCTGGGGTTCTATCGTTCATGTTCTCAGCACAAGCAGCCTGACCAGCTTGCAGGTGACGCTGCAGGAGCAGCGATGTACCAGGGGTGATACTCACGGAGACAAATGTTGTCGGTGAAGAGATGCAGGAAGCTCTCACACTCTTCCTGCCGGTTGCCACTGGCGTTGCACGTGCACCAGGGAGCTATGCTGGAAGTGGAGTTGTCAATGTAGTTGGGTGTGATGGGGCTGCCTGCCGGGAAGGACGGAGAAGTGTTACGGCAAGGCTGGTACATCATAAGGGACGATGGTTTCCCCACGTGCTGCTTTGTTGGGGTCCCCGGGAGGAGAAAAGGGTCAGTCACAACCCTTCTGTTCACCCCACCACCAGCAGAGCCTTCAGTCAATTAAAAAGTGCTTTTGGCCCAAGGAATGGGCAGCTCCGGGGATCTCAGGTTCCCTAATGACATTCAAAAACCATATGTGAATGTGCATAAAGGTTTCCATGTTGTCAATAGAAGAGCCAAAATCAAGCTCGAGAATGGTCAGGGAAAACAAAAGAAGGATTAAACCAGAATGAAATCTTGACCTGAATAGCTGACAATCTGTCCCATCCGTCAGGATGGACCAAGTCCAATGGTCATTGGCACTTCTTTTGGGACACTGTATGTGCTAACTGCTACCAGCTGGGTCTCTGGAGTATCTGAAAACCCAATCTGACAGCCTCTGAAGACAGCAAGATGGCAGCGGATGGTGATTTCCAGTGGCATCACTAGTGATGGCATCAGGGAACCCCTCGCAGGGCAGACACCCTGGGATGGCCCATCTGTTTCCACCTGAGAGAGAAGCTGGGATTTTGCAGCATGGTTTTTATCCGTATGCTGCAGCTATCCTAAATTGCCCCGTTTTCATGGCTTTAAGCTGAAAGGGGAGATTTAGGTAAGACATTTGGAAGAAGCTCTTCCCTGGGAGGGTGCTGAGGCACAGGGTGCCCAGAGAAACTGTGGCTGCCCCATCCCTGGCAGTGTTCAAGGCCAGGTTGGACACAGGGGCTTGGAGCAAGCTGCTCTAGTGGAAGGGGTTGGAGCTGGAGGAGCTTTAAGGTCCCTTCAAACCCAAACCAGGCTGGGATTCTATGGTATTTCCCACCTAGAGAGGGAACCAGCTGCAGGGCACAGCTCCTACCTATGATCCCCGTATAGGCCAGCAGACAGGCAGCGTAGCTCTCCCTCCGGCAGCCGCTCGCAGTCTGCAGTGATGGCTGGCAATTAAACTGGAACTCTGCGTAGCGAGACCTGATGGAGCAAGAGAGCAAAAGGGACATATCAGCACATCTGTCCGGGGCTAGAAGGCACATAGTGGCACACTGGTGGTGTTTACAGAAGGGGACACATTTGCAAAGTCCTTTGCTGCTGTAGGTGTTACTAAACTGGGTTGAATGAATATCATTTTATACTCTCCTGCCCCGCCTCACTCCAACAAACCCAGAAGTAGGTTTTATCCCTTTGAGGTGAGACACAAGTAGGTGTTGTAGTGAATGTTTTGCAGGGTCCCTATGGGGCTGCAAGTAATGGACTGCAAAGATGCTGCGAGGGCTGGAGCAGCTCTGCTCTGGAGCCAGGCTGAGAGAGCTGGGCTGGGGCAGCCTGGAGAACAGAAGGCTCCTGAAGGGGAGACCTGAGAGCAGCTCCAGTGCCTAAAGGGGCTGCAGGAAAGCTGGAGAGGGGCTTGGGACAAGGGATGTAGGGACAGGCCAAGGGGAATGACTTTAAATTGACACTGTGGGATATCTGAGTCATTCACATGAGGCTTTCAGGTAGGACACAGGACATGCTGAAGGTCCAGATCCATCTAAACAAGCATCCTGTGGCCAGGCAAGAAGGCACCTCACATGGATTTCGAGCTGCTTAGGAAACCCGAGCAAGCACTAGCATTGCCAGCACTTGAAGATAGGGCCCTTAGATGACAACCTGTAGGGTTTGAACTATGAACCTAGTATGTCAAACATGTTGATCCCCCAGAAAACCTCTCTTTTCCAGACATTTTGCCAGTGCTCCTGGTCAGTATCAGCACTCCAACTTGTATTTCCTGCCCTCTTCTTTCCCCCCTACTTTCCTCCCTTTTAACTCTTCTTTGTTCTCATGTTTACCCCACACCAACCCTTTTCCCCTAAGCCATGGCCAGGCAAACCCTTCCTGCCCCAATTTTTGCTGCATTATTTAGGGGAGGGAGGTACTGATTGCAGGTTTGTATCATTCACACTATTAGACCCCATCCCTCCAAGCTGGGACACGCAAGGGGTTACAGCTGGGAAGAAGCTGCAGGAGGATTAAGCAGTGCAGGCTGGGTTAGCCCTGGGGTATTTTACTCTCTTCCTTTCAAGTGCCATGATTTGTGCCTGGCTTCCCTTGTGGTTTCTGCACCACTAGCTTTGACCAGGTCACACGTCAACCCCGTGCTCCTGTTGTGTCTTTAGAGGATGTTATATATTATATATTATATATCCAGAGACCAAGGAACCAGATAATGAACAGCTGTGCTGCTTGCAGGAAATGGTTCCCACCCTCCTGGAAATCCCTTTAAACCTCTTCATTCCCTCTGGGCCTGATGTTTTGTTAGGGAGAGGGCAGTACCCATCCATTTTGGACTCCCTGGGTAGCTGGGGGAAAGCTGGTGTGGCTCAGGGGCTTTGCATCTTTCAGGATGAGCTTCAGATGTATAGCTCAGTTGTCCTCCTTCATCCACATTCCTGGGGTTGAGAATATGAACATCAGTCCACACTTCCAAGAGGATGCTGCTGTTATCACCTCCCTTTGTGAAAAGATATTTAAAGATGATGTGCTGGTAGCAGATGGCTCCTGGAAGCTCGGCTCAGGAAGTCCCAAACCCCACCTCTAATTAGAGACTAGGACAATAGTGGGACATGTGTCCTACACTTGCTCTTGTGCTCTTCCTCAGGTGTCTGCTCCTGGCCACAGCTGCACACAAGATGCTGGGCTGGGACCACCATAGTGCAGTAAGGCTTCTGTTATAGTCTTACATCTCCTACTGACAGATGGGCTCCTGAGAGCTGTATGGGTAAACCTTTGGAGAAATAGAGGGGTGAAAATGATACAGCTGAGGGAAAAACACTTAAGGGGTATTCCTGTGGGTGTGCACATTGGGATGGGTGTGTGTATGTGTGCATGCATGCAGTTTAAATGGAAACAGAGAAGCAAGCCACCCTGGCCACATACTACATGGTGGATGTGGAGTGACAACTGCGATGCTGAGACCTCTATCACGATCACTAGAACATGCAGCCTTGCAGCAGAAAGGAGTGTTTTTATGCACATCATTAAGTTTTCTAATAAAAAAGAAGAAAAATGGATTTTTAAGGTATCTGCAAGTGCCTGTGGCTGTCGGGATAGCTTGGGTGCACCTGCAGGATGCTCTGGACTAGGGGAGATAGGCAGTGGGGAGGCAGATTGGTTAAAGTGACTGCAAGCACCCCATATCACATCCCCACCTAGCTTGTACCTTCCTGGAACTATTTCCAGGTCTACTATGCTATGCTATATAGGTACTATATAATATATATTGGCATAGTATGGTATTAGTATTGGATGGAATGGGATGGCATAGCATAGCAGCATAGCATAGCAACATAGCATAGCATAGTAGACCTGGAAATAGTATATATATATAGTATATATATGTACTATATGTACTATAAACTATATACTATATACTTATACTATACTGCTACTGTACTATACTACACTACACTGCAATATACTACGCTACGCTACAGTATACTACACTACACTACATCTTTTTTAGGACAAAAGCCAAAAACCCATAGAAAAGATCTAAAAAACTCCAACACGAACATCTCAAATCTTCTTCTGTCTGTTAGCACTTTCTATATAGAAATGTAAGACAAGGACATGGGTCATGGGAAGGAGGCGCTCAGGCCATCAGTCAATGGGTTGTGGTGGGATGGGTGCCTCCAGTCAGCATCCTTTAGATGAGTGCATTGGCTCTGGGCTGTCACCAGTGGATGAACCCAAGGCTTGTCCAAGGCACAGCTCTCTGTGTTGGCCACCCCGGTGTAAGCGAGCTTTACCTGCAGACGTAGTTCTCCCGGCAGGAGTCCAGAGGCGCCAGGCAGTTGGGCTTCTCCTTGGACTCGTAGGAGCAGGCAGGAACGATGGTCTGCCGGCGGCGCTCGGCGCAGGCCGTGTCTTCGCAGGGGCAGAAGAGCAGCTCATGGGTGTACTCCGGCGGCACGCGGTCGAAGAACTTGCGCAGAGCCTTGTGGCACTTGGAGCGGTTGCAGGTGTCAGCCCGCGCCAGGCGCCGGATGCAGAAGGACACGTACTCGGTCCGCAGGCGCTGGCACATCTCGTCCACGTTGCAGGCTTTGGCGGCATCCAGGCACCGGTTCACCTGGGTCACCTCGTTCTCAGAGCCTGTGGGAGATGGGGATGGGGGGTTTGTGCTCATCTCCCCACCCAGCGGCACCACCCTGTGCAGGTACCTTCATCCCCATCCTGCTCTCATCCTTGGTGAGACCATTGCCTGCTCAGGAAGGCAGTGACCAGGGTGAGGTCCACACTTGCTCACTGTGCCATGGCAGGACCAAATCCACTTTCCTTACTCACCTTTACCAAGAGGTTCCGTGGCCACACAACAAAGCTTACACCCCAGAGACTGCTCCTCCAAGCTCCTATATTTACATGCTCCATCCCTGGAAAGGGTTCAAGGCCAGGTTGGATGGGGCTTGGAGGAACCTGCTCAAGTGGAAGGTGTCCCTGCCCGTGGCAGGGGGTTGGAGCTGGATGAACCTTAAGGTCCTTTCCAACCCAAACCATTCTGTGATTCTATGATGTAATAAAATGAAGACTTGCAGTACCCTGGTTATCTCATAACACTTTCCCAACATGAATTAACCAACTTGAGGCCTGGGAAGACAGCAGTCATTAGAAAGTGCATCTGCTTCTGGCCATGACTGGATTCACCAATGTGATGGGATCTCTTCTAACGGCCCCTTTTTCCCCAGACTCTGCTCAGGATCAAACACTGAGTTAGTGGCAATGATACATGGGTGGTTGGTGTTAACCCTTGCACCCCAGACTTGCACCCATATGCTGTACAATGAGTTTCTTCAGGCCTGTGTAAGGCCAAGTCTGGCTTTGGTAGCAGCTGTGCTATGTTCATGCCCAGCTAAGTGAGAGCTGTCTGGGTCTCAAAGCATCACAACAGCGCACTGGTTTTCCCAATTCAAACCAGTCCTGCCCAGTATGGCCATGTCCTAAGTCACAACAGTGCCTTTTGGGATGGGAATCAGAGCTACCATCCAACGTGATGTCCCTGGGACCTTGATGCTGCCTGCATGTGAGCACATGTGGGTCTCTCCCTATGGATGGATCACTGGCTTCAACAAGATCACTCTGCGTTTCCGTCCTCTTGAACAAGAGGGGAAAGGAAGCCCCAGGTTAACCTGGGTGGGAGAGCAATGGTGTGCCATTGGGATGCAGGGAAGGTGGAGGAAAACTTGCATCAGGGGAACAATCAGGGAAATGAAACAAAAACTACAGTGACAGATGAGAAACACACCGTCTTCAGTAAGCAAATAGATCTCTCATGAGTTTATATGCCAACAGCCTCCTCTACAAATGTGGGAAATAGGTAAGAGGGAAAGGTATTTGTCTAACAGTGGTTTTAGGGGTCCTTCAAAAGTGAGTTGATCTCTGTTTTATAGGAGGGGAAATGCTACAGGTAGGACTCGATTGAGACATCAGGCTCTCTCTGATCAGACCGATAAGATGAAGATCCTCCAAGCATAAGAGGGAAAAGGAATTTGAAGCCATTTTTCACCTCTCTGAATGAAGCCCATGACCTGAAGCACATTAGAAGGGCTTTGTCCCCAGCACAGAAGGACTTTTCAGAGAGGAAAAATCCCCCGAAAGATAAATTTCCAATGCAGAGTCAAGCCTTGTCTTTGGTTGGGAGTTAAAATCAGCCAGCCAGTGCTGAACAAGTGTTATAACATTGACAGTCTCTCTGAGCACTTCAGAACTGGCTGCCCTTCTTCATTTTCACTGCTATTAGCAGATCCTCCTTATCCTAGCACTTATTTTTCCCTTCCTGTTGTCCCCTCTGCATATAATGAGCTGGAAGTCACATCCCAAGTTTTGAAGTTACTTTATGACGGGTGAAACTTGCTTAGTGTGTTCCCACCACAGAATTCCTTCCCTTTAATATGGCCAGGGGTGAATATTGTGAGAGAACCAGTTTACACAGGGGAGCTGTCAGCACAAAGTTATTTGGAAGGGTTTCATTACCCATCCAGCTAATGAATCACAAGGAACACACTCGTTTGTCTCCTCTTCCCACGCAATAACAGGATGTGCTTTTTTAAATCACTGCTACAATTAGAGCAGAGAGATAGAATTCCATTTGCATGGTTTTTACAATTAGAGCAGAGAGGTAGAATTCCATTTGCACAGCTTGAATAATTGATATATATTGTTGATGTAAAATTGGGTTCAAAATATCTGTTGCTCTGACTTGACACATGGTCATGAGGATGTCTTATGTTTCAATAAGCTCTCGGGAATTTTTGTATTTGGGAGGTTTAAAAGGGGTTCTTTGGCAGTGCTGACTGTATGATCTGGGCACTGGTTAGTAGGTCATAAATTATGTTATTGGAGGTGTTGGGTATAAGTAGGGGAAAACCAGGTTAAACCAAGAAACTTCACATCCCTAGATGGATGCTGAGTCCTTTGGCACATACCCTTGCTGCTCTGGGCCCATTCGTGCTTCGCTGCCCAACCGGTTTCAGTCTGCTTTAAAAGCCTGCAATGTGTTAACCATGCATAAAAATCCCCATCCATAGATTCTGCCGTGCTCTGAAGAGCCCTGTAGGACTCTCAGCAAAGGGGAAAAAACTCTGGTAAAGAAGGGCATGACCCTGCAAACAGCTCTGTGTATGCTTCACTTTCCACTCTCAAATCAGTCAAGTGGAGTCAATAAGAAAACGTGAGGTCAAGGAGCACCCCCTTTCCCCTCTCTGCTCAGACTGTTGAGGGCTGATGGGTTAATTTGCTCCTGGGCATTTTCACCTAACAAGTGTCCCTCCATCTCAGGGACTGCAGACATCCATCGGCTGCAGGGACCTGCTGCTCCTTACTCGCTTGGGTGCACTCCATCTGCGGATGCCACCCTGGAGTCCGGTGCACATTTGGGGTGAGCTGCAGCAGGGCTGCTGTTTTGGTACCGCTGCCAGAGGCACACGAGAACATTATGTGCTCCCATATTGGTTATTTGGTAAGAAAAATCACTGCTGGTTAAGCTTCCCCATGTCTGTGGTGCATAAGCAGAGTCGGACAGTGATTGTGGTGGCAGCTGTGATGTTGGTGATGGATGGCTTAACAGCCACCACACTGACCTTTTAACTGCTGAGCTGGGGTTCGTGTCCTCAAGGGGGTTAAAAGGTGTTGGGCAGCTCTGCTAACATTGTTAAGTGGATTACATGACACAGAGCAGAACATGGGTCTGAGTCCTGAGGTTGCCCTCAGGGCATGGGGTTAGAGGCTGTGGCTGGGATCAACCCACAAGTCGGGTTATCAACCTTTTTGCCTGCAGAGTTTGGTCCTGTGAATGATGTGGAAACACCTTCTCATACCTAAGGATACCCCAGCAGGGCATCTGCATGACACAGGCCATCCACCTGCTATGGAGAATCAGGCCACCCATCATCATGGCTCATTAGAAAAGATCTTCCTACCACATTCCTCAATCCCAGCCATTCACGGCATGGATGTGGAAAAGCCAAATTAGGAAAATCACAAGTGTTTTTCCTAGGACATGTAAGAGTTTAACCCAGGAATCATAAGCAGCTCCTTGGAAAAGTGATTTCTAGTCCTGAACCATGCAATGCTGTATGAATGGACCATAAGAGAGCACAAAGGTCTACCCTGTCTGTAGCACTTGATCCCACAGCCAGCTCCCCCCAGCGTGAACCAGTGAATGGAAGAGCATCTTCCCACCACCTACCTGCAGTGATGGATGCCAGCCGGACATAATCAAAGCCCCTGATGAATGGCTCGTAAGGGGAACTCTCCAGTACGTTCATGCCTGTGGTGAGAAGAGAAGGTGGTGAGAAGGCAGCTGAGCTCCTGAGGGATGTCTGGGACGTACAAGATTCAACATCTGCAGTGCAGGTTTGCTTGATGGGTCCAAGGGGGTGCGCCCTAAAGGCCATAAGTAAATGGATGCTCAGAGTCACAGGAACTGATGCGTGGCCGTATGCTTAGAGAGGGGAATAGGATATAACTGGCTTTTAAAAGTACATCACAGCTTTGGAAAGCTTTTCAGGGCACTGCTGGGTTGCAACTCTATAACTCAAGTCTTGGGCCCCCTTATAGGGCTTGCCACTGAGGACACCAAACTGTAGTACAGGCTCATGGGCAGGGTTCAAACCACCAGCTCCCTATATACATGGGGTTTCCATCACCATTCTCGCTATTCCCTGTGTTTCTCCCTGGGTCAATGGTCCTCACCTGGACAGGGTTGTATGTGCAGCAGCACATGCTTTCCTATTTATTACACCTCTTCCTTTCTCCTTACCAGCAGCTCTTTCTTACTTGGCATGGAGCTAATGACCCACAGCTCCCGCAGCAACTTCATTTTTAAGTTGTTGGGAAGCTAGTTTTATTCACTTGGTGCTTCCCTTTCCTGCGCTCAATGTTCTGCAATGCCCCGTCACCCTGATGGATACCACAGAATATTATTGAGGCAAACAACTCAGTATCATTTTTTCCTTTATTAGACATTTAGATGGATATGGACAGCAGCAGCAGATGTACTGGCTGGGATAAAAGGACTATCAAACCTCATGCTCCGGGCATATGCTGATCACCAGCTGCGGTCAGGAAGAAATAGCTCCCAGGGTACAGAGCCCCATGCAATTACTACAGGTGCATTTACAAGGCAGCTTTACACCTTCATTGAAATATCTTGCATCGTTACTGACTGGAAAGGGGCCCATTTGTATGTTCCAGCGTAGCAGTTTTATGTCCTGATGATATAGCACCTTATCAGAGAATTGTTATCGGGTTGTCATCGTGTTATTGTGTCTCCAAATGGGAAGGTGGCTGAACACAGGCGCGCTCAAGAGAAGCTGAGTAAATAGTATGCTTTGCAAATTCCCTGAACGCACACTTCCACAATTGATTTTATAAGAGGGCTTCTAGGATGCTTTTTACAGCCTCGTGGGTATGGAGGTCTGAGAGACAAAGCTCTACACGGAGCATGTGGATTGGCTTCCTTTCTCAGTCAATTAAACATGTGTAAGGACTCTGAAACCTGGGGCTGTTCTGAAGTATATTTCCCTGGGGAAATTAAGGTAAGGGAATCAAAGGGTTGGGAGTGTGAATCTGCATTGCAAGTGAGCTCTGAGCTTGAAAAGATGAGGGGCTCAGGACATGGCAGCAGAGGACAAGTAGGGCAGAGTCTGGGCAGTCTCTGATACCAGCTTTCTTACAGTCATTCTCTAGATGGAGGACCCAGGCTGCTGGGCAGGAAGTGCATCCATTCTGGCCATTCAGCATCTCCTACCCTGCATCTGCAGACCCACACCTGGCCCCTGCCTGCTCCCAGCACTCCCTGCTGTTCTCACACTGCTCTTCCCAGACCTGAAAGTCCTCCTGGCACCACTGTCCCGCACAGCCATGGTGCAGATGAGGTGTGTCCGAAGATTCAGAGCATGAACGTTGGCCTGTTCTGATGAATGGAGAGCCCACCTCTTCCCCAGGCTTCTCTTCATAGAACGATAGGATCCCAGCCTGGTTTGGTTTGGAAGGGACTTTAAAGCTCATCCAGCTCCAACTCCAACACCTTCCACTAGAGCAGCTTGCTCCAAGCCCCTGTGTCCAACCTGGCCTTGAACACTGCCAGGGATGGGGCAGCCACAGCTTCTCTGGGCACCCTGTGCCAGTGCCTCAGCACCCTCACAGGGAAGAGCTTCTGCCTAAGAGCTCATCTCAGTCTCCCCTCTTGCAGGTTAAAGCCATTCCCCTTGGCCTGTCCCTTGTAAAGAATTTGCTTCAACACAAACAAAACTCTCCTAGCATAGTTATATATCTAGGCATATAATTATGGGAAAGATTTGATCCTGGATGGTGCTGAGGCTTCTTATTTCCCCAGTCACTTTGTAGCCCCATGCTCTGCTCCCTCCAAGCTGTAGCACCTGACAGCTTTCTGGGAACTTGATCAAGCAGTTTCTATTCTGGCAAAGCCTGTGCATTAGAGCCTGCATCCTCTTCGTTTTGCTTGGCCTTTTGGCCTGTGTTATCACCCTGCACCTTTCCCTTCAGTGTTCAGCCAGCAGTGTTTTATTAATCTATATCGCAGCCCATGGGTGGAAGGTTCTGTTTTATTCCCCATTTTAATTTTCATGGTGCATAAAATACTCACCAGCCTGACAGGGAAGAGTTATGGCCACTGAGGTGTGCTTTTATGATAACTCTTAAAAACCATCAAAATCCAAACTTACTAAATACTGGCTCTGGGAACACTTTAAATTCCAACTGATGTCACCAGCCCCAAATCTTCACTAACCCAAAGACATTGGTGCACTTGAAAGCCTCCAAGAGAGTGATATTTTTTAAGTTCATGCTGTTTTTTTAGCTCAGTGCCCATGCTTCGTGTACTATATCCATGGCTTTAGTGGTCTTGGCTAACATAGGTAGATGGAAAACATAGCATGTATTTCTGCAGGAGAGGACATCAAGGTATACTGGGAACACCATAGAAAAGAGGCCAGGTTAAAAAAACAGAGGAAGGAGGGATTGCTTTCCCCAAAAGCAATAGGGATCAGTAGGTCATGAGAGGGAATGTGATGCTGCAGGGATGGCCTTCTTTGCGGCCACTTTTGGGGAGCTCTGTAGAAAGCCCTAGCAATAATTCCCTTTGAGGAAAACCATCGAGAAATGAGCACCCTGCTTGACTGACCTTCCATCAACGTGTGGTGGATGCTCCAGTAGACACTCAAGCAGTGCTTCTCCTTTTTCATGCCACGCTTGCACTTGCAGCCATACAGTTGGCTGGAGAGCAGGGCCGTCACGGTGCTCCTGCACTGGTTCTTGGCATCGGGGCCCAGCTTGTTGGCTCCATTGCCTGCAATGCATTGCCGGAGGGTCCTGAATTTGGCACTGCAGATGGGGTCGTTGGTACAGGACTCGCCTGCTTGAAGGCAGTCCCTGCTCGAGCTGACAGCTTCCGCCATGCCTTCTGCAACAAAACCAGACAAGTGGTTTAAGGGTGGTGGAGCAACCTCAGGAGGGAAAAGAATTGTGTTTCCCATGACCTGGCTGGGATGCCCATCTAAGAATCATAGCATGATTTCATTTGGAAAGGACCTTAAATCCTATCCAGTTCCACCCCCTGCCACGGGCAGGGACCCCTTCCACTGGAGCAGCTTGCTCCAAGCCCCTGTGTCCAACCTGGCCTTGAACACTGCCAGGGATGGGGCAGCCACAGCTTCTCTGGGCACCCTGCGCCAGCGCCTCAGCACCCTCACTATAAAGAATTTCTTCTTATATCTGACCTGCACTTCCCCTGTTTAAATTTAAACTCATCCTCCCTTGTCCTGTCACTGCAGTCTCTGATGAAGAGTCCCTCTTCCGCATCCCTGTGGGCACCCTTCAGATACTGGAAGACTGCTATGAGGTCTCCAGAACTTCATATGCAGAGATGGAAATCCCTCTAACCATCATCCTCTCTACAAGCAATGACCTTGCTTTTAAGATCTGTAAGTGGGCAGATCCCTCCCCAGCAGGTCAACTGGAGGGTTTAAATGCTCAGTCTTAGCACCCCTGCTCATGGATGGGGAGCACTGGTTGCAGCACTGCACAGCAGCATGGCAGAGGAACAGGAGTGGGTAAAAGGAAGTTGGAAGGATGTTAAGGGGACAAGACACAACCTGAGACTCAACACCTCAACCCAACCCTCTCTCTCATATAGATAGGCCACCAGTAGCAATGTGGCATCCTGCTGAGGACCCAGAAGGAGAGGTCACCTCTCTCCTGGAGACCGGGTTCTTCCTCATTTGAGAAAGAAACCCTGGACAAGGTCACCTGGAAGCCAGATTATATATGGCAGAAACATGGCCAGTTCCTGTGCTTGCTCTTTCTTGGTGCACAAAAAGCTCTCCAAACCCATTGCTCCCCCAGCTCTCCCTCGTTTTGCCCTCCAAAGTTGACAGCATCCCAAATGCTATGGAGATCCCAGCCTTTCCCCCTTGGACATGGCTTAACCCTGCCTACACCTCACTGCAGCTATGGATGGCTCTGTGTGGGGTGATTTGACATGGAGTCATCTCACATGTGTCCCAGCAGTTGGCCCATGTTTGCTGTCACCACCTCCCCAGGGTTCTCACTGCTCTGTCCTGGCTTTTTCCAAGCTTCTCTAAGTTCTCTTCAGAGTTTATTGTAAAAACACAAAGCGCTCTCTTCCACATACTGAGAAGAGAGATGAAAGCATGGGAGGAAGACATTATTGCTACTCATACACCAACAAATTAATTCAGCGGGGCTCAATGATGCTGTGTCCCCATGGCCTGGAGCAGACCAATTCCCTGCTATTAAACGTGCTTCCTTTCTAAAGCAGGCTGGCCACATCCAGACTGACTCCAGGGGATGTTCTCATTCCGAGGCTCATGGTTGTATTGTTCCACCCCAGCAATGGCAATGCCAGGGGCTCAGCTGTACTCAGTAGAGCATGGTGGCACCCAGAGGAGATGAGGACCAGAGCAAGGCAAATCACGCTCCTAGATGGTGTGATGCTCTGGACCATGCTGACATAGATGGGGCATGACTGCACCATGGCTTGGGGGTGTGATGAAGAAGGGAACCTGGTTTATGGAAGGAGAGAATCAGTCCCTGTGCCTATAATGTAATTTCAGATTCTGCTGTACTATAAAACCAGAAACTGCTGTCGTGACCTTGAAGGAGGACTTCTCAAACACTTCTCAAAGGAACTCCTTGTCTCTAGCTTAACTTGTCTTCCCTTTGGATAGGAACCAGAAGGGTAAGGATACCTCACCCTTCATGGGGTAGATAAGCTGGGGGCATCTTCTGGTTTCTGAGCCTTTCCAGAATCTGTTCCTCATGAGATCCAAATTGGACAATATTAGAAAATCAGGGGCCCTGATTTCCATTTCTGGGGGTTCATCAGATCTCCCTTTTCTCCAAGACTCTATTGATTTTTCCATAAAGCCCTTTTCCCTATTTCCACTTGCTACCTCTCCTGCCCTTAATATCTGTGTCTGCCTCTGCTGCCTTCCTAGTTGGAAGGCGTTGAGCCCAGTATGGCCATTCCCCATCCCTCAGCAGTCACAGGGTGTTTGCTAAGAAGGAGCTGCTTCTATTGCTCTTGATTAGAATAGAAGGCAGCAGCTGGAGTTCAGATATTTCAATTACGTTTATTACAGACTTTGGGTGAACCCACCAGGAGGTTTCCTCCTGAAATATCCCAATAGCATCTCAAATGCAAAACCTTTCATCAAACTCCAGACTATTTCGAAGTGCCTTGTGGCCAACTTCGAGCTTTCAGTTATTTCAATCTCACATCACCTCCAATTTGAGTTCTTCTACCCCTGATTTATTCATAGACCTGGTTTATTTAGCACTCAAGGCTTGTTTGGATCTGCCAAATGTGGAGAGAAAAATTATTTCCAACGTGTAACAAACTCTGCCTTGGGCTGTCGTATCTTGAAGAACTCTGAACGCAAGGAACCAGTTTCCTTGAAATATCATTTGGTCTCTGCAATTTCACTGAGATCCATAAAATGAACTGGAGCTGCTCACAGCCTCTGCTTTCAGACACCACTGAATGTTCCATGCACATATCTGAACCCATAGAGAAAAGAAAGCAAGTCCTTGACTTATTTTACCCTGGCTTTCTCCAAAGGGTCTCCTCTGGACAAGGGTAACACATGGCAGGTTTCATTCTAAAGAGGTGACTTTGCCACTGTCATGTCAGCTGCTAGAAAAGTAGGTTGAAAGAGAAATTATGACCCTCCTTGCCCCTCTCTGCTCCATGAATTGTGGAAGATACTCCCCAGGATGGTTATAAACGCAGCCAGCCTGTAAAAGCTGTAAACCACTTTGGGATCCCACTCTAAATGAATCAAGCACATCGACCATCTGAGAGATTTCCCTGTGAAATTCTAAGTAAATATATCCTCAAGCTGAGACTTGCCCCATAGAACAAAGTCCAGGGGCGAATATTTAAAGCCTAAACCCAAAGCATAAAACACCTCCATTCAGACTTAATGCCAGAGGTGTCTGAAGCAACTTGGAGCGTCACGAATGACCCGTTCCATAATCACATCACCTAAAACCCAAATCAGTCAAGGGCTTTTATTGTTGGCGATGTCTTTGCAACTGAGACAACATAACACCACGTTTCCGTCTGCACACTACCCCTCTGAGAGTAATTTTATGCAACATTAAGAGAGTGCCTCTTAGGGGGAAAAAGATAATAAATCTCTGTGACTTATGAAATAGATGGTGCTTCCTAACAGGCAGGGACAGAAGCAAAATCAGGTCTCCTCTCCTAAAGGGGGAGCGTTCTTTCCGGTTTTGCCTTCAAACATATAGCACCTTATCCCTTGCTGAGGGATTTTCCTCCACCTTTACCCCTTGACTGACCAGGGACTCAGAGTGTGAACTGGTCTGTGAGTAGTTAAGGGCTTTCAATGCCTCTGCTTTCCTAATAGCAGACCTTCCAGCTCCCTCTGCTCTCTTTAAAAGGCTATTTGTCTGCATTTTTATTCCTCGCTTGCTGCTAATTTCACGCTGTTTACGGTGGGCAGATGGAGTAATGAGCTTATTTTCACATCCTGTTTGTAGCTGTGCTCCACATCTGTTTCTGCTCTTGCTTACCTCAGTGACACTTACATGAAGTTACTCCTAATGCACAGGCGTAAGAGAAAAATCTGTCTCTTAACAGACCCTCGGTTCTTACACAGGTATCTCAAAGTGCATTTTGTTTAATGAGGAGGTCTGACTCTCCTCCAAGGAGACCATTTCCTGCACCAAGGGAAGGCGGCTGTGCTGGGGTACAGAAGTATGAAGGTAGAATCGTAGGATCAAGGAATGGTTTGTGTTGGAAGGGACCTTAAAGCTCCTCCAGCTCCAACCCCTGCCATGGGCAGGGACACCTTCCACTAGAGCAGCTTGCTCCAAGCCCCTGTGTCCAACCTGGCCTTGAACACTGCCAGGGATGGGGCAGCCACAGCTTCTCTGGGCACCCTGTGCCAGCGCCTCAGCACCCTCACATTAAAGATGACCCCCATGTGGTCTGGAAAGAGTGAATAAAATGCCTGGAGAGTACCAGCACAGGACCCCATCACTTTGCCTTCCTGATCCAACCAACACTTGTGCTTTGGGTGTTTAAGGAGGAACCAGTTTCTCTTGGTGCTGTTCGACCTGGTGCTCTGGGATGCATCCCCTTCCCCTCCAGTTCTGTGTGTATTAGGTCTGAAGCCCTTGACATCCCTGATTCACACACAGTCCTAGGGAATGATGAACACTGTTATTTCCATGATGAGCTGTTGACTCCAGAACATTTGGTGTTTGCTTTTATAGTATTTGCTGCAAAGAGGGAAATAACCACCCAAAATCTCCAACAAAGCATCACCTAACCGCTGTAGGTTATTTGGACACATTTTACGTAATTCATCCTAAATCAGGCCTGTCAAATCTTGCACAATGAATGATGCAGAAGGCTCCTGCCTTTCACTGCCCTTGTGCTCAGGCTGGATCTCCTGTGCACGTGCATCCTCCCTGGTCTGGGATCCCTTCTGCTCTGCCACCTCCTGTACCTGCTCCACTTCAGAGGTCTTTTGTTGACCAAACATACCCCATCCAACATGTCATGGTGTGTGAGGGGCTGTCCCTCTACAAGCCTTGTTTTGCCTGCAAGGGTGGATGTCTTCATGCCAGTCACTCTCACATGTAAATGGCTGCGAAAGGACATTGCAAAGTGCACTTGTATCCTGTACTAATGTGACAGACACCTATAGAAACAGGGTCTAAGCCTGAGGTGGGCACCGGACCATGCCTCTGTGTTCAGCTGGGAGAAACGGCCATCATTGGGCAACCCTTATAGGCTGGGTCACATTAAATCTGCAGGACAGATGCTGGTGCTTGCTGATAGGCAATTGCCTGATATCCAGAACCTTTCAGCTTACCCAGAGCTGTCAGAAACAAGTTGTTGCCCACTGT